TTTTTTTTTTCCGTATTGTCATTCCCCTTCTCCTTCCCTTTTCTGTCCCTTCTCCTTCCCTTTTCTTTCCCTCTTCTTTCCATTTTCTTTCCCCTCTCGCTCTCTCTCTCCCCTTTGTCGGTCCAATGTTGCAATCCCTTACCTTCCTTGCATCAGGGCCTCTCCTTTTGGGCCTCGCTCCACTGAACAGCATTCTGAATGCATCTGGAGCTAGTACTGATCACGATTCATTCGAAATGTCAGATCAGTCGTGATGCATCTGATCCGTTTGCTATTCCGTCAACTCGTTTGCTATTTCGATCTCTCCTGCTTTTCTCAACCACCTTTCCTTTTTCCACCTCTCTCTCTCTCTCTCTCTCTCCTGCCCCCCCCTCCCCCCTCCTTTCTGTTTCGGTTCTCCAATCGCCGTTACCCTTGCCTCTCTCATCCTGCTCTGTCATTCCTACCCTTGCCTGTCTCATCCTGCTCTGTCATTCCTGCTCTCTCCCATGTCTCTCGTTTCGCACCCTCTTTGCGCCGTTTACGTCTTCCTCCCCTTTTCCCTTTCTCGGTCTCTCTACCTTTCTCTTCTCTCTCTCTGTCCCATGGCTCTTTTCTCATGGGCTCTTCCGTCTACCCTCTCTCTTTTTTTCTCTCTCCCTGCATGCCTCTATGTCATCTGTTTCTTTCGAGTCTCTCTTTTCTCTCGTTCCCTCCATGCGTCGAGGCGCTACTAGTGCCTCCCTTTTCCTCGTCGTTTCCTCGTTATGGCCTCATGCGGGTCTTCTCCTGCTGCTTTTCTCTTTCTCTCACGTCTGCGTCTTATAGCGTTCAGCTTATTTTAACCCTCCTGTCCCTCCCCACTGTGTCGAGATGGACTTCATCGGGTCTGTTGACAGAGAACTTACAGTCGCAATGGTGTTTCTCGTCTGCTGCCTGTGCAAGCGGGATGGTGAAATGTGGTGGACGCAGAGGGAAAGGAGAAAGAGGAGAGAAAGGAGAGGAAGGGGGAAGGAGAAAGGAGAGGAAGGGAAAGGAGACAAAGGGAAAGGAGAAACGAGAGGAGAGAGGAGGGGAAAGGAGAGAAGGAGAGGATAATGGAGACAAGGAGAGAAAGAAGACAAAACGGAGGAAGGAGGGAAAGAACAGGAGATAGGAAAGGAGATAGGAAAGCAGGAGAGACAAGGAGAGAAGGAGAGAAAGAAGGGAGGAGAGGAAGGGGAGAGGAGAGGAAGGGGAGAGGAGCGAAAGGAGGGAGCAGAGAAGGAGAGAGGAGAGAACGGGGAGAGGAGCGAAAGGAGGGAGCAGAGAAGAGAAAGGGGAAGGAGAGAGGAAGTAGAGAAAGGAGAGGAGAGGAAAGGCGAGAGAAGAAGAAAAAGGAGAGGAGAGGAGAGAAAGAAGATGAGAGAAGATAAGGAGATGAGAGAAGATAAGGAGATGAGAAAGGAGAGAGAAAGGAAAGAGAAAGGAGAAGTGAAAGTAGGGGAGAAAGGTGAGAAAGAGAAAGAGAGAAAGTAGAGAAAGGAGATTGATGCCTCCCAGCAGTTTAGGTATATCTTGATAACTAGAGTAACTCCTTAAACGTGGTTTGCTAATCCGTCTTAAAGTAGTTATATATGGTTCGCATGCTTGTCGTTGATATTTTTAATGTTAAAGTTAGTAAAGGAGAGAAAAGAAAGAAGAGGAGGAGAAGGAGAGGAGAGAGGAGAGAAACATGAGAAGAGAAGGAGAGAAGGAGAGTAGCAAAAGGAGAGGAGAGAATGCTGCTTGTGATTTTCCTTAGGCCCCATGTTTGTTTCACTTAACCCGTGAATGAAGAAAAGCAGGAGCAGTATGCGCTGCACAGAGATGCGCAATGGGTACCCAGACCCACACCCACACCCACCTGCACCCACCCCACCCACGAGGCATTGGGTCAGGTGTGGGTCTGGATAAACTGGCATGGGTGGGCTAAGGGTGGGCACCCAAATGGGTGGGTGACAGGTGGGTGAGCACTAGGCCTGGGTCACCCAACCCACAGAACCAGGACAACACATAAGAACCCCCTCCCCCCCCGCTCCCCCCCACCCCCCACACACATGCATATGTTCGAGCTGCGGTCCACCTGTGGACTTCAAAAGTTGGAAGCCCAGGAAACAGAAAGTCTCCACCCCCTGGAAAAACGAAGTGGTGGTCCCCCCCCAAAAAAGAGCCACGCAAGTT